CGTCGCCCCATCCCAGAACCGCGGGCACCCCTACGGCGTCCCGGCGCCCGCCCCTCCCGCCGCCTATTCCCGCCCCGCCGTGCTGAAGGCGCCGGGCGGCCGCGGGCAGAGCATCGGACGAAGGGGCAAAGTCGAGCAGGTGAGCGGGGCGCTGGGACTAAAGGGGAGCGAGGGGGGGGGGGGGGAGGGGGCAGGGCTGGGAGCGGGGCCGGAGCGCGGGTCTGGCAGACGCGCTGACAGCTCTCTGTGTCCGCAGCTGTCCCCGGAGGAGGAGGAAAAGAGGAGGATCCGCCGGGAGAGGAACAAGATGGCAGCGGCCAAGTGCCGCAACCGGCGGCGGGAGCTCACCGACACGCTGCAGGCGGTGAGTGCTGCCCCGGGATCCCGGGGGCTGCGGGGCGGGGACCCCCCGGGTGGGGGCGGTCGGGCGAGGCTGGCCCCGACTGACGGCCCGCTCTCTTCTTCCGCAGGAGACGGACCAGCTGGAGGAGGAGAAGTCCGCTCTGCAGGCGGAGATAGCCAACCTGCTGAAGGAGAAGGAGAAGCTGGAGTTCATCCTGGCGGCGCACCGGCCCGCCTGCAAGATGCCCGAGGAGCTGCGCTTCTCCGAGGAGCTGGCGGCCGCCACCGCACTGGACCTGGGCGCACCCAGCCCTGCCGCGGCCGAGGAGGCCTTCGCCCTGCCGCTGATGACCGAGGCGCCGCCGGCCGTGCCGCCCAAGGAGCCCAGCGGCAGCGGGCTGGAGCTGAAGGCCGAGCCCTTCGACGAGCTGCTTTTCTCCACGGGGCCGCGGGAGGCCTCCCGCTCGGTGCCTGACATGGACCTGCCCGGGGCCGCCTCCTTCTACGCGTCGGACTGGGAGCCGCTGGGCGCCGGGAGCGGTGGGGAGCTGGAGCCCCTGTGCACCCCCGTGGTGACCTGCACCCCGTGCCCTAGCACCTACACCTCCACCTTCGTCTTCACCTACCCCGAGGCGGACGCCTTCCCCAGCTGTGCTGCTGCGCACCGGAAGGGCAGCAGCAGCAATGAGCCCTCGTCTGACTCCCTCAGCTCCCCCACCCTGCTGGCCTTGTGAGGGGCTCGCCCCGCACTGACTGACCTGCCGGGCCCCCTCCCCTGCCCACGCACCCCCACGGACTCGCCATGCCCCCCCCGGCCTGGGGAGGGCACCGCTGCCACCACCCCCCTGTCCAGCTGGGGCCCGGGGCCTGGTGGAGTGCCTGGGCCCATACCTCCTCCAGAGATGTAGCAAACCGCATGGAGTTTGTCTTGTCCCCAACGGCCCATCTGTGAGAGCTGGTAGTCTGTAGCATGTCCCACATGGCTGGGTTGGTGACTCCCCCTCCTTAGTATCACTAGCATTAACTAATTAATCCCTTGGTTTTAAATGATTGGAATTAACCTGGTGCTGGGTATCTCCAACTTGTATCTAGTGCAGCTGATTAACAATAACTACTGTGTTCCTGGCAATATCGTGTTCTGATGACTTAGCAACGACCCATCTTATGTGGGGGGGAAAGAGACTCTATTTTATTTTCTAGTAGGTAGATGAATAGCTATATCCATGTACTGTAGTTCTACATCGATGTTCATTGTAACTTTACTGATCATGCATTGTTGAGGTGGTCTGAATGTTCTGACATAAGTTTTCCATGAAAACGTTTTTATTGTGTTTTTAATTTATTTATTAAGATGGATTCTCAGATATTTATATTTTTATTTTATTTTTTTCTACCTTGAGGTCTTTTTTGACATGTGGAAAGTGAATTTGGATGAAACTTAAGCATTGTTTGCTTATTATTGTTCAGAGACATTGTCAATAAAAGCATTTAAGTTGAGTGCTGGAGCTGTCCTTGCCTTACCTTTTGCATTAATCCCTCTGACCCTAAAGGGGCTTCCTGAACTCTGCCCAGGGTTGGGCTTTACTGACATCTGACTGCTGTAAGCATAGCGTGCATTAGGGTGGGAAAACCATTATGTGCAGATCTGTCATTGCCCTGATGTGTTAGTCAGGCCTGGCTGTGCCTACGCCCTTCCCACCCACTGCTGGGGCCACCCCTCCTCTGGCCTTCCTTCTGGGACTGCCTGCCATGGGCTGGTGCACCTCTGCCTGTCACCTGCTGTGACCTTTCTGCCTCTGCATAAACCAGAGGCATGCAAGGAATGGAGAGTGGGAGAGGTCTCACTCCTGAATCTCCAATGCTGTCTCCAGACTGGGGTCTACCCTGTCACTTGCATGTGGCTGACAGCCCAATTTCTTCCTGCATAGGGAGGGCTGGGACCGTAGCCTTGCTCTGTGTGTCCTGGGCTTGCTTCTCCAGGAGCAGCTACTGAATATCTTCTAGCCATGAAGGCATAGAGAGATGCTCACACGCATTTCTCTTTGAACAAAATAGCGTATGGCAAAATACACTTCCCCGGTATCAGTTCTCCTGGTCCTTGAATGAATGCAAGCTATGGCAAACAACTTATGAGCTCTAGGAACTCTTCCCCACCAGGGTGTCTTGTCTGTGCAGCCTCTTCTCTGGTTCATCTAAAGGAGCTGCTACTCTCTTTTCCTCCTGCTGTCTGCACAGCAAAACATACTCCTTTGGTGGGCAGGTCTCTTTGCGTGCAGGGGGCTCTTCTGTTCTCATCTCTTGATCAAGAATGTAATTTCCAAGATGATGGCAAAGATGCCTCCTGTGCTGGCATGTGCAGCTGGCAGAGGATTGCTTTTTCCTCTGAGGAGAACTTTTTGTTACATTGAGGGTGACGGAGTACTGGAACGGGCTGCCCAGAGAGGTTCCTGACATCTTTCTCTGGAGATATTCAAGAACTGCCTGGATGCCTACCTGTGTGACCTGTAGGGGAGTTGAACTCAGTGATTCCCAAGGAGTCCTTTCCAACTCCTACAATTCTGAGACTCCGTGACAGCATGCTCAGGAAATCTCCGCAGGATTCTGCAGGTCATTCAGGACAGGGCTTGTGCAACTGGAGGCTTCCTGGTCATGGCTACAAGCTCTGCTTTCTTCACCCCATCCCATCCAGAACACGCACAGGATGTACCTCATCTCAGCAGTGCGTATTGCACTGCTTGGGGCTTGCTCAATACCACCCGCACTGTGCAAAGGCAAGCATCACTTGTGCTGCTTCCGTCTTTCAACACATGGCTGGAGCAGCACTGACAGCTGACAAGGAATGACCCTGGTTGTCGCTGCAATGCCACCTGCTCAGCAGCAGCCACTTTTGCAGCATCGCTCTAATTCACAAGGGCAATACTCAGGCGCAGCAAACACACAGTGGCACTGACCCCAGAAGTCATGTAGGTGTAGCTACAAGAGACAAGTGACTCGGTGCAGTCAGGAAATCTGGAATCACGACATGTCTGCTGCTGAAAAGACTGTCAGGCTCCTAGCTGGAGAATTCAGTGAGCTGCATGTTCAACAGAGTAAGAAGAAGCGGTCTCAAAATACCAAGCAATCTCCTGGCGGCAAGTGGGCTGATCCTGGCCTCACCGCCTCTCCCCAACACTGGACAGGGTAAAGCAGAACCTTGGGCTGAGTTCTGATCCACGGTCCTCCTGCAGCCTCTCCGAGGTTTGCTCCTTCCAGCAGCAGTGACAGTGACCACCATGCACCAGTGTCAGTGTCTGCATCACATGAGATGCACTCCTTTAATCCCAGGCTCTTGCCCTGTTCTTTGCCTTATCATAGTCATAGAAAGGCTTGGGTTGGAAGGGACCTTAAAGCCCGCCCAGTCCCAGCCCCTGCCATGTGCAGGGCTGCCCCCCACCAGCTCAGGCTACCTAGGGCCCCATCCAGCCTGGCCTTCAATGCCTCCAGGGATGGAGCACCACAGCTTCTGGGCAGCTGCACCACAGCTTCACCACTCTCTCAGTGTAAAATTTCCCCAATATTTAAATCTCTCCTCATTTATTTTAAAGCCATCCCACCTATTACTATCTGCATGTGTAAAACGTGTCTCTCTTCCATTTTTAAGCTCCCTTTAAGTACTGGAAGGCCACAGTGTGGTCTCCCTGGAGCCTTCTATTGTCCAGGCTGAACAAGCCTATCTCCCTCAGCTTGTCTTCATAAGACAGGTGCTCCTGCTGTCTGAGCATTTTTGTGGCTTCCTCTGCACCCAGCAGCTCTGCACCCTTCCTGTCCTGGGGGCCCCAGGCTTGGACGCAATACCCCAGCAGAGCAGAGGGGGACGACGACTCGCCGTGCCCTGCTGCCACCCCTTTTTGATGCAGCCCAGGGGCAGTGCAGAAGTCGGGCTGTGCTGGGTACAACGTACGGCTTGTCACTGGGCTGATGTACCCACTTCCCAGTATTTGAGGACTGCGGAGCAAAACCTCACTTGAATTGGCACGGATCTCGCCGCTGACTTCAGCAGAGTCGTGAGAGGGAGCGGCGCAGCAGCCTCCGCTCGGGATAGATTAAATGCAAATGCACGTGCCTCGATTACGGGCTGTATCTGATGGATCACGCAGATACCGGCGCGCGGCTTGGTGAAACAAAACAACGGGCACGGCGATGAGACAAGCGAGCGACACTCGCGTTACTTCTGACTGCTGCCGCGCTCCTCATCCCACTGAGGGCAGCAGCGTAATTTGCTCTTAGAAGCGAAGCTGCAACGCAAGGAAAAAGTGGAACCGCAGTTACGCACGGCACAGGCAGAGCCGTGCCACAGCACGAGCGGCCCGCAACGCCTCTGCAGGGGAGCGCGGCACAGGCGTGCGGCGGTGACCCGGGCAGGGAGGGCGGGGATCCCCGCAGCCCCGCCGCGCCCCCCCCCGCGCGAGGCCGGGCCCGGTAGCGCCGCGAGGTCGCCGGCTGCGGCCCGCCCCGCAGCCACGGCCGACGGCAGCCGCGGGCCGCCCGCCCCGGACGCAGCGCAGCGCGGCGCCCCATCCCGGCCCGACGCAGCGCGCCGCGGGGAGCGCCGCCGCCCGAGCCCGGAGCCGCCCCGCGCCTGCGCGGAGCCGCCGTGTTTACTGTTTGGTTGCCAGGGCGCCGCGCGGCGGGCGCGTCAGGGACGTGACGTCCCGCTCCCCGCGGAGACGCTACGAGCCAGCGCCGTGACGCAAGTGCTTCCGGCCGTGCCCATATATGGCAAAGCGGCGGCGCCGTCTTCCCCTGGCGGGCGCTGGACGTCGGGCCGCGCGTGCGGCCCCGCGGCGGGAAGGTTCCAGAAGGGCGCGAGCCGGGGCCGTCGGCACAGCGATCTGCCGCTGCCCTGAGCCCTCGGGCCGTGACAGCTTCGAGCGGGCGCCTGCGTCCTTAGGTGCGCTCTGCAGGTTCTGTCACTTGTTCTGCCGTTGCTTTGTCGGCAAGCCTGTCGGTCGCGCTAGGAAGCCTGCCGAGAAGTCATCGGTGCTGCCGGATGGTCAACAAGCGGGTTGTTCTCGTCAGAAGATGAGGGTTTAGAAAAGAACAGTTGTGTGCTCGCTGCAGAAGTGGGTGCGTGCGCCTCGAGCGGCGGGGCGTGCAGGAGGGCTGCTGAACGAGCGGCGCGGCTGGCCCTGCCCACGGCGGCCTTCAGGGGCCCCTCCGACTCCGATGTTTCTGTGAAGAATCAGCCTATAAGCTGATTTACCGCCTGGGGACGAGATCTTGGCATTATAATGGTTCCGTGTGAGTCTCGGCTGAAGGCTCGCTGAATAAGCTAATCAAATGCTAACAGTGGGCTAGAGAACAAAGCCCGGAGCAGCATTCGAAATGCAGCACGGTCCTGCGGTGTGCCCGCGCTTTGATTCTCTGTGCAGCGCTCATCTTCCCTTCAAAAGGGTGAGCTCTGAGAGGTGCAGATAAATAATGATGTTCTGGGGCTGTGGAGCAGCTCCTGTGTGAGGAACAGTGAAATTAATGAGGGCTCTTCAGCCTTAAAGAGGCACAGGTGAGGGAGGTATCTGGCAAGAATCATGGGCATCAAATGAAACATGGGAAAAATGAGAGTTAAGCATACAGGGGTTGTTCATTCTGTGCTGTGTGTTGGCATGGTAGATATTGTAGGTAGCGCTTTTCGTACGCTTGAGAGGAGTCTAGAAAATGAACAGAAGAAAAAGCCAATGAGTGCTGTCGGATAAAAATGTGCCCTCTTTGAGTGATGAAGTTCTGCTTTTTGTAAATTTCTGGGGTTTTGGGGGAATATTCCGGGGTTGCAGCATGACACCCTTACCTTGTCCTTACAGCCTGCTTTGGGTGCCTGCTGCCAGCCAGTGGCAGAAGTCTGTGGGTGATGGCAGAGGAAGAGAACCAGAGAGAGGGAAACTTGGCCTGTGTGACCCCGACTGATCTCTATTGTTTGGGAAGCAGTTAGCTAAACTTTCGCTCTGACTCTGCGCTTCCTTACTGAGGTGTTTGAAATTTGTGTAAGTTATTACAAGATGTGATCTCATAAGTCCACAACTTTCATCCATTCAGATCTTCTGCTGATAAAGTTGTTCTTATGGCTTCTGGCGAGCTTTCCAGCCATAGTGGGTAAGCTGGTGACCCGGTGAGATGCTGAAGTGAAACCGACAAACATGTATTCTTCTGATATGGAAACAGCGGATATCCACAAGGGACCTCGGTGTCATATCAACAGGATACTGCAGGAAAACAAAAGACGGTCATAAGTAACGTGTGGGCAATACAGCACCTTTATTACTTCCAATTATGGAGCTCTTGTTCCTTTTTTTCCCTGGCATCTTTGGATTGCGGAACAGATTTTCAGTTCCTGTTCACTGCCTGGGTTTTGTTTTTATACAAATATTTTGTAACTTTTTCCTGTTGGCAAAAAACAACCAGGCGTAACTTTAAAGCAGTCTGAATTCTGACTGCATCACAGCTTCTGTTTAGTGAGAATATAGCTCCCTTTAAATAGCCCAGCTTGAATTTTCTCATGCTAAGGGGTAAGGGAGGTGAAACAACCTCATAATGCAGAATTTATCTGTTTTTGTTTGCAAAACTAAGTATTTGTTTTGAATGAGCAGCAGCATTGCAAGGGCCACAGAGTAGCAATGTCAGACCTGAGGCATGTCCTCTAAATTCTGCAGGATTCAGATATTTCCAGGTTGCTAGGGTTTTGAGTAACACGTCGCTTTGGCACAGCTCTGAAGTGTAGTGGATGTTTCTGTGTAAGAATGATGTTGATCCTGCTGTGGAGCATTTGAACTTTAATTGTAGGAGGAGTGGCAGTTGCTGGCAACTCACAGCTGAGAGAAGGACAAACTCTGTTACAACATGTAAGCGTGTGGTGTGGCGATTCAGCTCAACAGTAACGTGACCTGATGGTGTTGTGTCACTAACCTCGAGGACACAAAGGAAGATAAACTAATTTGCTGCCATTACATAAGAGTTGAGAACAAAGCCAAGAATGAGGTTTCAGCACAGATAAGGATTTCACTCCGAAACTTTCAAAGAATTCAGACCTTCACAGCTTTATTCATAGGGGTTGCAGGTCCTCCCTGCTGCAGTTTGCCAGCAAGTTCCCGGTAATCAGATGCCACAAGGCTGGGTTCCTTAGCTGTGCCTGAGGGTAGGTAGAAAGCACGAGCATGGGATTGCTTGCTGACTAGTACACAGTAATAATCCCGGTACCTGAAATGGTTTTGGCCTGTGTCAACTAGCAATCTCCAAGGTGCTGTATGGGCATGGTTCGTGCCTCCAAAGAGGAGTGTTGGTGAGGCTGGGCTACCCCCATGCTCCATGGTCATACTGCAACATCTGAGCCAGTTTCATACTGCATTTCCTACTTGGTGACAAGTCCTTTACTTATTATTGCAGCGGCTGTGTAAAGCATTCAGTGCTCCAAGTTTACTAAACTACCCCACACTAGGGAGAATTTAAGGGAAACACAAAGTGATTTATTTCACCAAAAGGTAGGTAGGTAGCTGTATTTGAAGACAAATATGGTGAACTAACCAAACAAGAAAATATGCTACTCTACCTGATTGTCTTCAAGATCTTTGTTTCAGCCTGAAGGCTGAGCTGAGGGGCATGGCAAGCTGCTGGGGTGGGTTCTACAGCTATTAGAACTGCACAGTGGCACTCAAACAAGCTCCCTTCCCCAGAAGGCACGTTCCTGGCTAGGAGCACTTATTTGAGAGAAGTTTTATGTATATTTTGTACATCTCTACATGCCTAGGGGCCTTCTGAGGGCAAATGCTTCACTGTGTGCCAGTTCTGGCTCCTAATACCAGTACAGTTGGTCAAGACCTGATTTGTAATGGCCTTGCTAATGAAACACCATTTGTTGTAGCTCTACTCCTTGTTGTGCAAAGACATGACAGAAGTGCAGTGTTCTTGCTCCTGATACCTGGACAGCATTAATGTGGCTTCTTGATAAGCCAGTACCTGTAATGTATAAATAAATAGGCTTTAGTAGAAGTATTTTATTTTTCCTCTTAATTTTTATTACCTCTAATATGAGAAACACTTTTGTGGCAAAAGTAAATACTGCTTGTTTGCTGATTAGTTCTAGAGAACAGCTATGAATAAAACAGTTCTGTGTTTGTGATCAAAGTGCAAACCAATTCCATTTGTTAGATACGTGGAATTGAGCATGAGGCCATGTGATCAAAACCCAACAAAATCTCCTACCAAACCACTTTAACCTTAGGACCAAAATCTGCATTATTTTTCCTCTGTATGCCATGTTTTTACTTGTGTTGTATCAGACACAGCTAAGGGACTGAACTGTTGCACGTGTGTGAGAACGATGACCATAGCTAATTTAAGGCACGTGTAGTTGCATGAGGTAATGACCTCACAGCCTCAGTCTTGTCATGTGAACAGCTTAATTATTGGATATAGAATGACAGATTGTGTCCTGCAGATGATCAGACACAGAATGTGCTGAAGACCAGTCTGACTCTTAACCAAAGGTTTGTATTTCCTTTTAAGATGCATCATGCACTGAAATAATCATCTGTATTTATGAGGACAAAGTATTATATAACAATTTCCACCTGGGGATCTCTTAGCCTCCTTATGGGCCCTAGTGATAGAAGTGTTCTGTTCTGTCTTACCATGAGATTTTCAGTGTAGCATTCGAGTACTTTCTCATTAACCTCAAATGAGACTAATACGCAAATGTGTGGTTTGTTCCTGTCTCTCCACATTGGGTTACAATGTGCTAGCAGTAGAGGTGGGAAAAATCATGCCGTGCAGTCTGGGGAAGCATGTACTGAAAGGTCTTTTTGTCGCTAGGGAATTAATTCTCCAAATTTGGACAGATCCTTGGAAAGTGGGGTGTCTCGCACAGGCGAGCATTACCTTTTTGCCAAGTCCATTTGTGCCACAGGGTTGCATTAGCTGAGTACAATCTATCTTGGTGTTTCACATGGCTTCCTTCTATTTGATATGCTAGTGCTAGGCCTTAAGGTAAGAACCAAGTTTAATTTTGCTGTTCTCAGAACTATATGAAGAAGGTGAAGAGTGTGATCCCATGTTAATAGCCAGGTAAGTTGAAGCACTGAACAGCAGTTTTGGGAAAGTTAAAATCAGTCTACATGGATGTTCCTGCTGTCACCTCTGCTCTTTGTGATTCTCTTTCCTTCCTGGTTTCTTCATAGTTACTTGCTTGACCCTCAGTGAAGTAGTTTGGGAATTTACACTGGCACAAGACATGTTTTCATATGTGGGGGTTAAATTTCAGCTGCATTTGGTCCCTAACCAAAGTTACTGCAGAATCAGTCAAATGCTAATACTGAAGCAATGCAAGAGGCAAATCCTGCAGCTTTTAGCTGGACTGGGCTACACAGCTTCCAGAAACCCCAATCAACTGATGTGATGCATTGTGTCTGTGATCAGTAGGATCAGCTGGGTCAGGAGGAGCACAGGAATAATGTGGTGGTGGTATGAAAACAACCCAGTGGTAACAGGGAACTAATCCAGAGATGTTAAACTTACCTGTGTATGAGTACCTCTAAAATCAGGATTACGTACTCTGATAGAGCTACCTGTAGCAGATTAAAATATAATCTTTGCTCTCTGAAGTGAGCTGATAGCTTTCTTAGGTGACAGGACTTTGTGCTGTGCCATCCACAGTCCTGTTGGCTGATCAAATGATATGGGAGGGGCACAGTTCCCAAATGCCAAGTGACAGAGGCTGAGGTTCCCATTCCCTTTTACCACCCCCAGGAACACGTGTTAACCCCGGCTGGGAGGACAGGCTGGAGAGACTGGCATGGGAATGCCTGGAAGCAGCCCATCAGCACACAAGTCAGACACCCATAACAGTGCTTTTAGTCTCTTACAGTATAATTGAGCAACATGAACGCAGCAGCCACGGTCTCTTACATCCACTTTCTCACTGTGCACGTCAGAGGACCAAGACAGTATAGACTGAGATGCATTCACTTTGTTGTGCTTCTTGGATTAATGGATCATTGGAGTTCTGAGCGGTCTTTGGGGTTCTGAGAAACATCACCCATTCACCAGAGCTTCTTAGTCCCAAATCTGAATTTCCACGCTTGTTGTCTGAATGTAAGGAGCCATATCTTAGACAAACATGCTGTAGTTTTTACTGGAGCTGACTGACGTGTGAAAATGTCTTTGTGGCCTTGGTGTTCTGTCTCATGGCGGATGTGCATCGTGATCCTAAACTATGGCAAAGCCTTCCAGTGAGACGCCAAAAGGCTGTTTATGTCTCCCGAGTTTCATCAGCTCCTTCCAGGTCCTGCATCTGCAGAGCACTCGGAGGTGCTTGGGATTTCATGGTTAGACCTATAGACCTATAACGCTTCGCGCATTTCTTAGAGCCGGAGCGCCTGGAGTCATGTGGTTACGTAAGAATTTAAACGTAATTTTTTGTTAAGCAAACGATTAGATCTCGAGATTGAGGAGGAAAATTGAGCAACGTGAGCCCAGCAGCCACAGGCATTGGAAGTAAGGAGCAGCGTACAACAGCGACGCAGCCTCTCGGTCCCCGAGGCTCCGGCCGTGAGCGGGCGGGCGCCAGCGCTGTCAGCTGTGGCTGCAGCCGGCCCTTTCTCTCCGCGCCGCGGCCCCGCCGTGAGCCGCGCTCCGCCCGCCGGCGGCATCGCGCACTGCCCTCTGTTGGCTGCCCGGGTCCCGGCCGCTGCTCGGGGCTGGGCGCCCTGCCTTACGGCCGCCGCGCGTCCCTGCGGCCCCGCAGGAATGCTGCCTGTCCGGTGCGTAACTTCGTCCCCCGCCTTTCGCTGCTCCCTGCTGCTGCCGAGGAAGCTGAGCGCTGACGGAGGAAGGCGGAGGTAACTCGCCGCGTGTGAGTGCTATTGAATCGCAGCGCTGCGAGCCCGGGCGCCGATCCCCAGCCCCCTGCTCAGAGCGGGAGGAGCAGGAGCGGGTTGCACTGGGTGCTGAATTTTGAGTACCTCTAGCAATGGAGTTTCCGCGGCCTGGCTGGGCAATTTAGTCCATTGCCCAACTGTCCTCATAGTGCTTATGATAAAAAATAGAATAAAACGGGATGCTGGGGACATGCTTTGAAGAGCCTGTATTCCTCCACTGTATTCCCAAACTTTTTCAAATTCCCATGGGTGCTTCCTTGGAGGAGGACCGGGTAGAGACAGGTAGGTTTTTGTAGAAAGGGCAGGTTGTTGATACGTGGCCAGACTTGCCCTTGGAGTTCTTTGTGTGGCCGTGTATCAGCTGTGCAGTCTGAAAATTGACATAATTTCTGATGAGATCTCTTGTGTTTAATCCTCTCAAATATGTGTATGTGCTGATCTTGGGTGTAGTTCATCTAATGAAACTTTGGATAAGATGATCCCGTAACCGTCATGCAGATTTGGGGGCCTAGCAGCCTCCTGTCAGATTTTGCCTTAGGAAATGGTAGAAAGTCTGTGAGAAAGGTCCTGGGGCTGGGATCTGGCACCTGGGAGAGGTACTGAGGGGGCTTGGGCTGTACTAAGCAGGGGAAGATAATTTGCTTTTGCTTGTTTTGTGAAGTCCGTTTTTTTATTCTCTGAACCACACCTGCAGGAAGGACTTAAAGAGATGTTGGGCCAGTGACAGAGCCCAAAGCTGAATGGCTGGAAGCGTTAGTATGCTGCCGGGGAGATGTTCAGGTGGCACTCAGGTTGAAGGGCTGTTTGATATGGAGGAGGCTGCTGTGCTCTGCATATAAACTAGGGGTGACTTCTAAAGTAAAACAAACAAACAAAAAACAAAAAAACAGGAAAACATAGCCCTGCAGGAAGGAACCTCATGCTAACGCTCGGCTAACCATGAGCCAGCAGTGTGTCTGGGTGGCCAAGAAGGCCAATGGCATCCTGGCTTGTATCAGAAGTAGTGTGACCAGCAGGAGTAGGGAAGTAATTGTTCCCCTGTACTCAGCTCTGGTGAGGCCGCACCTTGAGTACTGTGTCCAGTTCTGGGCCCCTCACTGCAAGAAAGACATTGAGGCCCTGGAGCGTGTTCAAAGAAGGGCAGCAAAGCTGGTGAGGGGTCTGGAGCACAGGCCTTATGAGGAGCGGCTGAGGGAGCTGGGATTGTTCAGTCTGGAGAAGAGGAGGCTCAGGGGAGACCTTATTGCTCTCTATAACTACCTGAAGGGAGGCTGTAGCGAGCTGGGGGTCGGCCTCTTCTCCCGTATAACTGGTGATAGGACTGGAGGGAATGGTTTCAAGGAAGGGAAGATTCAGGCTGGATATTAGGAAATACTACTTCTCTGAAAGGGTGGTCAGGCACTGGAATGGGCTGCCCAGGGAGGTGGTGGAGTCCCCCTGGAGGTGTTCAAGGAACATTTGGATGTTGTGTTGAGGGATATGGTTTAGCGAGAACCATTGGTGATAGGTGGATGGTTGGACTGGATGATCTTATAGGTCTTTTCCAACCTTAGTGATTCTGTGAATCACCATCTCTTGTTCTGTTCATCCTGGGAGCAGAGGCCTTTCGCTGTGTTGAGTTCCTTGTGAGTGAAAGGTGTTAACCCTGGGGAAGCTGTCCTTGTCTGAGGACTGTCAAACACTGTCCTTGCATTTGGTGGGAGCCCTGACCTTGGAGCTGCAGAGCTGTAGATGGTTTCTGCAGAGTGATCTTAATAACATGACTTTGTTTAGAAGGTCTAACAGCTGAAATACTTGGGGAGTCTCTCCTTTTGCTCAGCTTTCCCTGTAAGATCCCCGTGCTAATGCCTCTGCCAGAATCCTCTGGTACCCCAGCTAGCTCCTGTCAGAGACTGAGAGACTGGACCCAGGTGTTTGGCTGAACACAGGGAGCAAGTTTATCATTTGCTTCCCTATGCATGGCAGTCTTTCTGCTGGCAGGCAAGATGTTAAAGTAGAAGCTTCATAGCCATCACTGATTCTACCTAGCGCTTTTTTCTTTTCCTTGGAAGCCTTACATGCAAAGTCTTGCACTGCGCCTTTCAACTCAGGCTCTGGATCAAGTCTTGCAAAGATTGGGTGCAGCTGCAAGACTCCTGGAGGGATTTTTATTCTCACATCAGATAAAGTTGGGGTAAAAAAAAAAAAAAAAAGGGTAAATCACAGAGCCAGCAACTTTCTTGGCACCTCTGGGGTTGCGGCTCCTCCTGCCCCTCTGGCCTTCAGAAACGCATTCGGCAGAGCTGCCTGCATAGCAAAACAAATGCGTCCCAAACCAAAACAAACAGAGTTGGGTGTTGGTAGTGGATGGGCCAACATTGTGTGCTGGCGTCATCTCTGCCCACTGCCAGCATGTTGTCATAGGAACAGCTGGATTATTTTACAATCCAGCTGTGGAGCCAATTCTCTAAAGGAATAGCCTGGAGGGAGGAGAGAGGCGGGCAAAAGGGAGCATTGCTGCATTTTCTGGTAAGTGAAGGGAGGAGGAGTATTAATGGAGAGAGGAAGGGAGGGATTATAAGCGAGTACCATCTATCATAGCCTAAAACCACAACCAGTCATTTCCAGATAACTGACTCTGTACTGTTAGCTGGATCTGGGAAGTAAGAGCTGTTCTGTGGGAGAAGGGGTGAGGATAAAAGGAAGTCTTATCCTGCGGTGGCCATGGCTTGCAGCTGTGCAGAGTGCTGTGCACCTGCACTGTGTCCCACCACCTCAGGAGGTTGAAGCTGATTAAGTAAGGGCTTCTCACTCACCCAGAAAAAGATTCACGGCAATTTCTCTTGCGCTCTCGGAACTCCGGTGCTGTGTTTCTTCCCTGTGAGTTCCTTGGATTGTGTTTGGAGCCTGCAGAGTACCGAGGGCATTGTAGATACCTGAGCAGAGGCTTAGTCTTGGTGCTCGCGAGGGCTGCTGTAGCAAAGGGAGCGCTCTTGGGCTGAGGCAGGAGGCCTGCCCTTCAGCTGAGCTCTGGACCTCGTGATTCAGCAAGTCCCACTGTTTTTCCCAGAACCGCAGGGCTTGGAAGGGACCTCTGGAGATCGTCGAGTCCGGCGGCGGCCGGTAGGTGGCGCGGCCGAGCTCCGCGCCTCGGCTTACTGCCTGTGCCGGGCACCGGGGCGGCTCGCCGCCTCACCCGGGGACACGCGAGGCGGCCGCTGCCTCCTGACCGCCCCAGCGCTGCGCTCCACGGCCTGGCCCGGCTCTGTGTGAGGGCTTTGGGGACGCATTTCGCCAGAGCTGGAAGGGACGGTCCTTTTTCATAGAATCATACAATCACAAGGTTGGAAACGACCTGCAAGATCATCTAGTCCAACCACCTTCCCATTCCTATTAGTACCACAAGCTACTGAATCATATCTCGTAGCTCCTCATCCAGGCACCTCTTGAACACTGCCAGGGACGGCGACTCCACCACCTCCCTGGGCAGCCATTCCAGCGCCTGACCACCCTCTGAGAGAAAAGTTTCTCCTAATGTCCAACCTAAACCTTTTTCATTGCTTAGCTTTGAAGCGATGACAGCAAGGATCAGTGGAGTGACAGGGAACTCAGAAACCCTGCCATTGAGATGTTACCAAAGTGCAGAAAGGACACTGAGCCATTTTCTATACTTCACCTGTTATGGTTTTTTTTTTTTGTCTGTTATGGACAGGTTGATGCTACATGTGCAGACTTGGGAGTGACAGATTTGTAAGGGTTCCCCTGCGTCTGTACCTTACTGGTTCTTACTGTTTTAGACTCGAAAATAAATATTCTAGGTATCTCAGTACCTGCCTCCCTTCCTCCCTCCTGCTTCTCTGTTCTCCCAACTCCTCCCAGAGGCCTCTGCTGGCCCTGCTGCCGGAGCCCCTTGAGGGGGACAGTTGGCAGAGCTCTGAGTGCTCACCTCCAGCCGAGCTTTCAGTGTGTGGGCTGCTTTACCAGGGCTCCAGTGGGCACTGGTGGCCTTAAGTGATTTGTAGGATTTGGACATACTTGTACAGACATCTGCTTGACAAACAGCTCGTTTGGTAGTACAAATCTACACCTGATCCCTGTCCTGGAGGAGTTATCTACAGATGAGAATAGTACTGAGAAGAGGTTGGAGTTTGGCTCATAAAATGTACAGAGGGGTTTCTTTGGCATCTAAACTGCCAATGCAGTTATTTCCACATTTGCAAAGAGATGCAGAGATTCCTCTTTTCTTGTTGTATTTTCAGTCTCTGCTGCTCTGGGGAGATG